AAAAAAAAAAAAAAAAAAAAAAAAAAAAAAAAAAAAAAAAAAAAAAAAAAAAAAAAAAAAAGAAAGACAGGATACTTGGGACAGCTCAATCCTTTATAGGTTTTAATGATCAGAGGTCTTAGATATATATATGCATAGGTCCATGTGGGCCTCAGAAGTGTACACAGGTACAGTCTAATTTCTTGAAAACACTAGAAGCACCTACATGTAATATGTAGAAAGTTTAAATCTGTAGTAAGAATCAAATTTCAGAGACTTTTTTTTCCAAAAGCAAGAAACATCGTCTCTAGGCAGGCTAGTCCTTCTCTTTTACAATCACTTTGCTGATTTTCCTGGTTCAGTTTCTACCCGTGCATTTCAATAACTCATTCCTTCTTAAAACTGGATGTCTTCTAGGAACCACTCCACCCGTGTTTGCAGTGCGCTGTCTGGGATGTGGACTCAACCTCTCTGAGTCCGGTTTTCTTGTCTGTAAGAGGCAATGATGATGTGCATCTTATTGGTTGCGGGGCTTAAATGTGATGGCTTCCATGGAGGGCCTGGCCCAGGGCTGGGCAGGCAGCAGGCCCTCAGTTACCGGCTTCCTTTCTTCCTTCTCTAATGTGCTGCCTTTACTTTCCCAGCTTCACCCTCTCCCCTTTCCTCTTTCTCCACCACAGAATGGGGCACTTCTTATTCTGGATGCCCCGTTCATGCAGGCGAGAGGGGAACCCTTGCCAGAAGTGTGAGCAGCTCAACCTTTTGGGAAGCTTAATGTCGAAGCTACTTGTTCCCCTTTAATGCACTGCCATGGCTGGTTACATAGAGAAGGGCTGTGCAGAAAGCATCCTATGTTCTTAAATGTTTTCACGTTATGGTGGGGAAAAAGCCGCGTAAGTGACCGGTACATTCTAGCCAGTATGACTTAATAATGCATTTGCAATCCACCGGCAGGAGGAGTAATCCATAGACACACAGTCCTCCACCCTCACCCTAATACCATGTTGTGGCTGTGTGATGCACAGTCAGTTCCTTCGTGGTTGCAGTGAGCTTAGAACCAAGACTGTGTCTGGCACCGCAAGCAACAAAAGTACTCTCACAATACACAGCAATCACATTGTACGTACAGCCATGTTTTTTTTCTTAAAGAAGGAAACAGCAACGATCTCAACATGTCATTTTGACCACCACTATTACACGATTTCTGAATAGGTGAGTCTGTATTGAATACAACGGAATAAAGACTATCTATGCGAAGTATCCGTGTGAGTTGGAGATCTGCAAATGACCACTTTAATCTCACATCTAGCATAGAGTTCCCTGTTCCCCCTCTTTCATTATGCTGTAGGGATGGCAGGGCTGCTATGAACCCTTCAACAAAGAGACAGTGGTCAATAGCTGTCTGGCTTCATCACTGAAAAGGTTTTCATTTAAGTGCAAACATTAAGGACTTTCTTCTTACTCCATCAGGCCTTTCTGGGAACTGCTTTGAAATATTCCTCCCTTGAAATATCGGATATGCCTCCATACCATTTCTGAAGCCAGATATGTTCTACCCTCATCTTCATAAAGAACCATTCATACTGACGAGGCCACTTCCTCATCCCTGGGTGCCTGCAGAAATAAAAAGAGACCACAGTAAAGCTGTTATTATCAAAGAGGTGCATCCTGGGCCAAGTCATAGAACCTCCAGAGTCTAGGCCTCATTTGCACTGACAGCTGCTCAGATCAGCCAGAGCCAGAGCTGGGGAGTCAGTGCCTGGGACCTCAGTAGGAAGGCAGGGACTGTAGACCCTACCCCATGTGGCTAAAGGCTCAAGTCTTGAGCCAGGCTCCTTGGTGTGAATCTCAGTTCAACTGCTAATGAGCCGTGATGCCCGTGGGCTATTGGCACTCACAAGTGTCTGTGTCCTTACCTGTCACGTGGGGTAATGCTGACGGGGCTCTTCATAGGACTGTGTGGGGAAGGAGACAATGAACCACACATAAAACACCCGCAGAGAGTAAGTGTTCAGTGGAGGCTGGTTACCATTATTAGGAAATGTAAAGAAAGGTTTTATGCATCTCTATAGGAAATGTTCACAAAATGGAGTGAGCCTGTGAAATCAGTCTGCCCATGGAAAGATTTTTAGTCATGGAGCAGGCTGAGAGCTACTGAGGCAAGTGAGAGCCAGCTAGATTTGACAGGCGATGTCACATCCTGGCTCGTGCTGTTTACTGACTTGCCTCTCCCCAATGCATACCCCTAAACTTGCTGCAGTGTCTTTGAGGGCAGGAGCTGTGGCTCACTTTTTTTTTTTTTTTAACTTCATAAACATTTCCTTTATATCTAAAAATGGTATAAACATAATTCAAAGACCAGGTCCAAACTGGGAAAAAACATTTGTTACAAAGGAAATGCAACAATAGGTTGACGATCTTTATTTATTTATTTATTTTTTAGAAATGGGACCTTGCTCTGTTGCCCTGGCTGGACTGCAGTGGCAGGATCAAGCGATCCTCCTGCCTTAGCCTCATGAGTAGCGTGCCACCATGCCCAGCTAATTTAAAAAACAATTTTTGTAGAAATGTAGTTTCACTATGTTGCCCAAGCTGGTCTTGAACTCCTGGCCTCAAGCAATCCTCCTGCCTCAGCCTTCCAAAGTGCTGGAATGACAGGTGTGTGCCACACGCTCAGTCAATCGTCTTTTTAAAGAATAATTTGTTTTGAAACAATAATAAACATACAGGGAAACTGAAAGTACAGTATCCAAAACTATTTTCTTTTCTTAATCCATTTGAACAAAAGTTGCTAATTTGTCGCTATAACACCCCAAATATTATGCAGCCAAGATAGTAACATGATTGCTGTTTT